TAGGTTAAGAGTTTATGTTTCTGGACCATAGCCCTCAGCGGTGCTTAATTCAAAAGGAAGAAACCCCAAGAGAAAACCTGATCCTCTCTGGGAGAGGTTAGAACTGGCAGGTAAAGTATCTGAGGGGCTGAGGATTGTAGAGCCTTATGTTGATTGGCTGCTAATTATGTCATTCCCTTTACTGCAGCTTTTATTTCTTTATATATTTATTTTTAACCATGGCATTTTTCTTAGCTTAACAGGAGAAAAAATGAGAAAAGAGCATAAACCCTATTCTGAAAAGTCCCCCCTACCTGGGGGGAAAGTAATCCCATGACATGTTTTCTTTTTTCTCCCAGCATTTTTATCGAGGTGAAAATAAATAGCAGATTATAAGGAGGTAAAGAAATTACTTGTTTTTATAAAACTAGAGGAGCATTTGTAAAGAGGTGATTATCAAGCTAAAGAGGCGATTATGTCATTTCACTCCAACATCTTTACTGCAAAATAAGAAAAACACTACCATGTTTACTTTGAAAGGTTTTGTGAATATTAAGTTTAAATTACCGCTTGTAAACTGCATGAACACTAGATACATGAGAAATAGGCTACTCGTCCAGGAAGACAGAATCCATGCAGGATCCAGTATTAGGATAGTATCTCTGAACATAAGTTAAAAAAAAAAAAAGTAGTTATCTCTAGCAGAAAACAGATCAGGACCACATACATACCTGCCTTTCTCATGTGTTTTCTGAGTACCAGGTAACTGACTACGACTTCCCAGAACAAGCTGCCTCATATCACAACTTTGCCATTCCGAACGGCCCTGAGCCCCTTCTCTTCATTGCAATTTGAAAACTGTCTCTTTGAACTGGTTTGAGTTAACCCTTGGCACAAAGAGGCCATGATTTCCAGGTCCCACAGGAAGGAAATACATGATTGGCATGAGAAAGTCTGTATTCAGAAGGAGGAAGATGAAAAGACAACATACAACATGGGTTTGTTTGAAAACATTCTATTTTGTAAATCACATATTTTATTTCAAGCTATATACAAGAAAAAGATCTAGTCCTAGTGGTAAGAGGCTGCACTGCCATCCCAAAGGTTGTAACTGAGTTGAACACAACTCATAGCGACCCTATGAACAAAAGGCCTGAAGCCCCTCTTACAACTATCATCATTTATCAAAGTTCATAGAGTTTCCAGAGGCATGTTGTTTAGGAAGTGGATAGTTCAAATCCATCATCGTCTCTGCAGGAAAAAGGATAGGCAATCTCCTTTTATGTGATTTACTGCCTGTGAAAACCTGCTGGGGGCAGTGGGGGGGGGTGTCAACGATTGGTTGATTTCAACTCAGTGACACACAACAACAGCAATCCAGAATACAGAAAGAGTTTTTACTATTCAAAAGTGAAAAGGTAACCAAAAAAATGGACCAAAAAAAAAAGGGGGGGGGGAAGGTCTTGAATACACATTTCTACAAAGAAGATATATAAACAACCCAAAAGAGACATGAAAAGATGCTCAATGTGATTGGTCATTAAAAAACCTAGTTGCTATTGGGCCAATTCCAAGTGATGGCAAATCCACATGTCAGAGTAGAGCTGTACTTCATGGAGTTTGCAAGGCTGTGACTGTTCTCAAGTAGACAGCCAGGCTTTTCTTCTGAGGTACCTCTAGATGGGTCCAAACTGGCAATCTTTCTGTTAGTAGTCAAGTGCTCCACCATTTGTAGCACTCAGGGTCTTCCTTCTACTAGTCATTAAAAGCAAAACAAACAATATGTTACCAAAACTTATGTTACCATAAAGTCAGTACTGACTCATAGTGAACCCTCCAATGGATTGGTGAGATTGTAAATCTTAATGTGAGTCTGCTCATCTTTCTCCCTCACAGGAGCCGGTGGACTTCAGCCAGAGTTGCTCCGCCCTGTGGTTAGCAGTGCATCCCATACTGCATACCACAGTAATGGCAGCCTAGATGTCTTTAGTCATTGTTGTTGTTGTTTGGTGCCATTGAGTTGAATATGACTCACAGTGACCCTACAAACAACAGATCTGAATCCTGTACTATCCTGTGCCATCCTCATCATCTCTGACACACTTGAACCCATTCCTTACTGAGGGTCGTCCTCTCTTTCCCTCACCCTCCACCCTTCCAATTATAATGTCCCTGTCCAATGAATGGCCTCTCTTAGAAACATGCCCAAAGTATGTGAGACAAAGCTCTGTCATCTTTACCTCCAAGGAGCGCTCTGGCTGTACTTTCTCCAAGACATATCTGTTTGTTCTTTTGGCAGTCCACAGGATGCTCTTCTCCAACACCACAGTTCAAAGACATCACTTCTTCTGTCATCCTTCTTCATTAGCTAGCTTTCAGAAGCATAGTAAATGATGGAAAAGACCATGGCACGAATCAGGTGCACCTTAGTCTTTAAACTGAAATCATTGATCCTCAGTAATATGGAGAGGTCCCCGACAGTAAACTTGTCCAATGCAATACATCTCTTAATCTCCTGATTTCTGGTGCAGGGGTGTTGACTGTTAACTCAAGTAAGAAAAAAATCATTGACATTTTAAATATTTTCATCAGGGGAGAATTTTTGTCTTGCTGATGTTGAGATGTAATCCATATCAAAGGCTGTATGTAGTCTTTGATCTTCTGCAGTAAGCCTTTCCATTCCTCCTCATTTTCAGAAAATATTCAAATTATCAACAATGGGCTCAAACATGTCAGAGATGATGAGCATGCCACAGGATAGGTCAGGGTTCAGATCTGTTGTTCACATGGTCACTGTGAGTTGTACTCAACTTGATGGCACCTAACAACAGCAAAGCAATTTCAACTTCTCCATGCTTCCATTCATCCTTCTTTCCTCTTTCTGCCTTCTTTTGAAGCAATCACTTGCTCAACAGAAGAAAAGATCTATTGCGCCACTCTGATAAAATTTGTTGTTGTTGTTATGTGCCGTCGAGTCGTTTTCGACTCATAGCG